AAAAATCAATGATGATATTACGACAGGTTCCATATCGTCACGCTAATAATCGAATTGCGTAAGTCATTTTTGGCGATTTTGAGTTTTTTATAAAATATGTATTTATGTAATGCTGCGCACCTGTCGAACTCAGATTTTATTTTAAGAATTCCGAAATCCATAAAAATGGAGATTTAGTATGACATGCACATTTGTGCAATTGGTTCGTCATAATGAATTATCATTGTTACCGCTGGACTATTGTGACGCCACAAAGGTAAAATAACCTCGGCGCCGTATTTTCGAGTTTTTGCATCTCGGATTCTAGCTTAGCGCGTATTAATTTGAATTTATACTACAGTATAGGAAGGCGTGCACTTGTGATATTCACTGTCCGAGTCCAATTCACCTTGGTTGGCTTTTATATTGGGTGCATTGCTGTTTTATTCTTTATATTTAATCTTGGTCTTATTTCGGTGGGTATACAGATCGTGTTATATTATTGAAATATATAATTTTAAACATAAAAAATAATGTAATTGAAACTGATTAGCTATTTTAGGGATTAGACATTGTAGATACTGAAAATTACATTCGTTTTTGGAATGTTTAGTTCTTAGGACTGGTGCATATAGTAAAGTTGCAAAATTGCGTATGTCCCCAAGTCATAGACACATTTCTACCTAAGTCACAGTGCGCCATTATGACGTCACTTAACTGCGTCATACAAATAAACTTAAATCCGGCTACGATCAAAAATTGAACCATGGCAAATTATTGACTCTCAATGGCATAACAATATCGTTAGGAAGTTTTTTTTACGTTTTTCTCAAAACTGCTAAAAATGACTTACGAAATTCGGTTATTAGCGTGACGATATGTTTCAGTGTGTCCTTGCATATTATTTACGTATTTTGAGACAAACTGGGCCTATTGCTAAAAATATAATTTATCTGTTCGAATTAAACTATATTGGTAACAAGTGAAATTCGATAGTGGGATCATTGTTCCGATACATTTAACCCCTTCATTTCCACGAATATATATATATACGTTTGAGCGTATCTAGTGCTGCATTCAAAAAAGTACGGATCATCATAACCAAATGAATGATCAGCTATTAGAATTCTCATTAGAATTCTAGATCAGCTATCAGTATTCTCAACTTGTATTAAGTTTCTAAAAACCTGTACCGCAAGAAATTACTGTATCCACTGTACTTTTCATAAAATATATTTCAGCTGGTTACACGAAAATGTCGAATTTCAAGCATATGTCTTTGTTTTTTATGAGTGGGATTGTATTTTTGAACAGGATTTATACTGCTGTTTTTGCAAATGCAAGAACAAACGGAAGATGCTCAATATTTAGATAAGTGGCCATGCACTAAATTTAGTGAATTGGAAGAATACCTAATGATATGACTTATTGAAGAGATAATCAAGTTCATACATCCGGATAACAACATGTTTTGTAGTGATTCTTTATAACTGCTTAACATGAATTTTTCTGCTTTCGAGAAAATCTCAATCTCCAACAAATATTTGTTACCGTCGCTTTAGGGCGTAATGTTATACATTTTCTTTAAATGCAATGCACATTTTCGGAGGGGATTACCTGTTTCAATTGAAAAGGTGAACAAGAAGTACGATAAATCTAGTGAATATGATGGTAAATCTAACATTCACTATCTCATAAAAAGTAATAATTAGTAAGGTGAAAACTATAGTTATTCGACAATCTTAAGCAGTAATAGATATTATTATTTAGCTCAATAAAAAGCCAATAAAACACAATTCCATTGCGATGCAGATTCAAATCAATATAGGAGTAATTTGAACTGTATTACGGAGCATCGAAACACTTCATTCTATCCATTTTGTAAGACTTGAAACATATTTTAAGTCAATCAGGTTACAATTTTGTTATTTCTGAAGTGTCTTATGTTGCTCTTGACAAAACAATTATGACAATGACCTCCACTCATCAGTCTCTTTTCAGTATGTATAGCCACAATTACTATCAATTAATTTACCCAAACACTTTGAAGTATATGCGATTTATTATATACAAATATAAATTGAATGAGGGAAGGAAGTTTCCAGGAGGACGATTCTTTACATAATCTTTTTTATTCGTCGATGTATATTGTCATTGGGAGTGGTAATGAATCCAATTTTAATAGATGATAATAAAACGGCGAAACAACTTTACCAAACATTTCGCGTTTTAGGTTGTATCATGACGTCACCAGCAACTTTACCCAGTCAAAAAGATGTAAAGTGCCCTTGTAGCGTCTACGGAGTAGCTCATACTTCTTCTAAAACATGATAAGATGCAAACACTTCGAGGAAGGCTAGAATTGTTACGCGAAGCTAGAATAAATGACGTACGTTAGTACAGAAACTGTTGCCAGAATCAAGTCAGTTAGTAAAGAAACTATTGCCAGAATCAAGTCAGTTAGTAAAAAAACTGTTGCCAGAATTAAGTCATACCGAGTATATGACCTCCACTTATCAGTCTCTTTTCAGTATGTATAGCCACAATTACTATCAATTAATTTACCCAAACACTTTGAAGTATATGCGATTTATTGTATACAAATATAAATTGAATGAGGGAAGGAAGTTTCCAGGAGGACGATTCTTTACATAATCTTTTTTATTCGTCGATGTATATTGTCATTGGGAGTGGTAATGAATCCAATTTTAATAGATGATAATAAAACGGCGAAACAACTTTACCAAACATTTCGCGTTTTAGGTTGGATCATGACGTCACCAGCAACTTTACCCAGTCAAAAAGATGTAAAGTGCGCTTGTAGCGTCTACGGAGTAGCTCATACATCTTTTAAAACATGACAAGATGCAAACACTTCGAGGAAGGCTAGAATTGTTACGCGAAGCTAGAATAAATGACGTACGTTAGTACAGAAACTGTTGCCAGAATCAAGTCAGTTAGTAAAGAAACTATTGCCAGAATCAAGTCAGTTAGTAAAGAAACTGTTGCCAGAATTAAGTCATACCGAGTATAATATGAGCTAACCATAAAAGAAATTGAAGTTTTACGAGCAAAACGCAATGAAAATTAACTAGGTTACTAGAGCAAGATATGACTTATCATCCTTTATGAACTATTAATAATTAACACGGAATGTCCAGCCGGGTTGTTAACGTGGCCCCAAGTTGCCTATAATCTGTCGTGCTAAAAATAAGAAATAAATTAGGTCGTGGGTATATCATCCTTTTAGCATTCTTTCACAAAGAGAACTAGACATTGGTTCTAAGAGAATTGGATACTGATGTCTTAACGAAGATTCATTCCTTATTTTTAGTAATCAAAGAAATATTGAACAAATAGTGACTACCACTTTCGTACAAAGGTGATATTAGAACAGCTCCCATATGTTTTAGTGTATGTTTGCTAACTATCGTAACTATTGCTAAAATAGATAATTTATACGTATAAATTATACTATATTGGTAAGAAGCTGAAATCGAATAGTTTTATCATCGTTCTTACATTCTTTTTAGTTCCACAAATCTAGGTCTGTGAGTATCTAGTGCTTCATTCGGAAAAATGTACAGATCACCTTAACCAATAAATGATCATATAATAGGACTATTTTCAGCTTCTATTCAGTTTCGTAAGAACATGTACCAAGAGAAAATGCTGCCTGTATTTATGTACTTTTTATTAAAAATATATTTCAGCTAGTTACACAAAAATGTCGAATTTCAGACATATCTTTTATGAGTGGGATTGTATTTGGAGCAGGATTCCTACTGATGTTTTTGTACTATCGAAATTCTTCTAGTACTGGTTCTTGGTAAGTGATTTTTCTGTATTGAACGTTCTATTGTAAGTCGTTAAATTTTATGATATGTGTATCTCTAAATGTCTGAAGATTTTCTGGGTTCATGAGATACCACGATTAAGTGATATATAATATGGGGTATCTATAATAGTTCCTACTATTGAAAATCCAATTTTTTATATGGATAAAATATACGGTGATACAATTTGTAGTTTGTCCGCTTGCACGCATGCTGTTTGACATTTGAAGTTGGATTCCAGACCCTTCACGAACCTTCACTCAGCGTAGGCTGGCTGGTTCCCTCGAAGCCCAAACTGTGAATATTTGTTAGATAGATGTAAAAATGCACACGTGCCATGGGCCTTTAGAATTTTTTTATTTCAACAAGAACAAACGAAAGATGTTCAATATTTGTGCGGGTGGCTACTGAATTTAGTGAATTGAATGAATATAGAAATATATCACTTATTAATTAAGAGATAATCATGTTCATACGCCAAGATAACAACTCGTGTTGTAGTGATTCTTTACAACACCTGAACATGAATTTTTCATTTTTCGGGAGAATATCCAGCTTTTGGTTCATTAAATATTGGTTACGTAACGCTATTTATTTTAATTAAATGTAATGTACATTTCAGGAGGAGTTTACCCGAAATTATTTCAGTTGAAAAGACTGACAAGAAATACGACAAATCTAGTAAATATGATGGCAAATCTAACATTCACTATTACACAAAAAGTAATACCTCGAGGCACCTGTTGGCAAACCATTCTGATTTTCATCATAGTGCTGAAGGTTTGACTAAATATTATCACAATGATTGAGATTTTGTATTTTGAAACTTCAGTCATTCAACGATCTTAGTAATAGTTAATATAGTTTAGTTCAATATATGTTTCGCACGTTTGAAAACAAAAAGCCAAAAAAAAAACACGATCCCATTGCGACGCAGATCAATTCGATTTGATGGCTACATTAGGTAACATCGAAACATTGCAGCTAATCCGTTTTGCCGAGACTTGGAAAACAATATGTTAAAGTTAATTTCACAAGTCACAATTTCGTAAATTCTCGAATATATATGACCACCATTGCTATCAATTAATTCATCTAAACACTTTGAAGTATATACGATTTACTATATATATATATTGTCACTGGGAGTGATAATAAATCCCATTTAGCGTTTTAGCAGGGTTATTAGATGACAATAAAACGGCGGAACAACTTTACCGAACAGTTCGCGTTTTGTGTTGGATCATGACGTCACCAGCAACTTTACTCAAAAAGGCAATTTACGTAAGAGATACGTGGCCAAAAAGATGTAACGTGCGTTTGTTCATGAGCTCCGTAGAAAATAAGGTGATTCAATTTTGTCTTCATGGTCATTACTCTTTAACTAGTTCCAGTTCATAATAGGTGCTTTGAATTTACAATTTATGTATATAAACAATGTTTAATCCGCATCCAAATATCAATCTGTATACAGTACTAATATGAGTTTTTGATATTGCAGACCTTTCCTGCAGTGGGGCTCCCTGTTAAAGAAGGACGGTCCCAGTTATATAAGAAGACAAAAGCAGCGTATAAATATATTTGGAAGCACTATCAGGACCAAGCCGATTGGTTTTGAAAGCTGATGATGACACTTATCTAATTGCTGAAAATTTAAGGTAGAATAAGACCAAAGGCTTCAAATGCGATTGGCATGATGTGTCCTGATAAAAAATATATATTAAAAAATAGTAGAATCATCTTTCAGAGCCTCGTCAAGACGAGCAGGGACATGAGGACATTAACACATCAATGAATATTTGACTGAAGTTCAATTAACCTTGTCATCATACTGAATATATATATATATATGCGCTAAATCTTTAATACTTTGATATAATTTTTTCAGCTGAAATTGGATACCCATGGGTGGTTAAAATGAAATTATTAGTCGATTAAATATTGCCTTGTTCTAAAGTCATAAATAGAATCTAACTAATAGATCTATAAAATTTTATTGGATTTTACTGTTTTTTTGTATCTTTTTCAACAGATTTTTACTAAAAGATTATGACCCCCAGAGACCGTTACATTTTGGTCGGAGATTCAAGCTCTTTGTTAAACAAGGATACATGAGTGGTGGAGCAGGATATGTTTTGAGTAAAGAAGCTTTGGGAAGGTAAATATTTAAGTGAAGATGTACGATCAATATTTATTTGCTCATTCCATATTCACCAATTTTAAAAATTGTAATCAAAGCTGCTCAATACAATCTTCAAGTAAATGCCAGTTGTGGTAAATCAATTTTTATTTTCAAAAAGTTGTTGTCAAGCGAACATTTGCACGGTAATAAGAAAATAATAATTTCAAATAAAATTTAAGCATTGTAGGTTTGCTGTCGTACAGTTTGAGTGGTGGTGTGGCACATTGTGCTAAGCGTTAGAAATACGCTCGCCACCGCATCTCTGATTACGCTTCGTGGGATCGCAGGTTCGAATCCCATGCGGGGATGATCATGTGCGAGAGGATTGCTGGATTACTCGCCGCCGTAGGGTGGTTCACGCTTCCGAAAACAGATAACTGGCTAACTAATCCCATACCCGTCCTGGACTGGTGACCGGACGAGAGGCCGTGATTCGCCATATAATTAAGCCGTCTTATCGGCTTTCCTCTCCCCCGAGATAAATATGTAAATCCTATCCTAATGTATAAACCTTATTGCAGCCTTGTTTCCATAATCGCTACCACGGTTTATATCCGTTTGATTGTTAATTTGATACAACGGTATCAGTTCTGCTTATGACTAAACTAAATTCGATTTACGCTGTGTGGAGTTTGATTTATCAACTTAAACGCGTTAGTAGCCTATATTAAATTATGGTATTATAATGGTCGTTTCGTGTCTAGCTGTTTTCCGAAAGCATAGTGAAGAACATCGGTCATAAAAATAAAGAAAATGATCGGTCATAAAAGTATGGATGGTTTCCCGAAACTCATGAAACTTTGCGTGTTAATCGTATATTTCATGATATATATATATGATGGATATATATTCACAAAAAATGTTAACGCATTGGGGCCTCTCTTTTTCATTCAACATAGATATGTTCATGAATTGGATACGAAAAAATGTCCTAAAGGGAGTGTAATTGAAGATGTCGAAATAGGAAAGTGTTTGGAAATAGTTGTTGTGGAAGCAGGCGACTCGAGAGACCAAAAAACAAAAAGGTGCCTTCCACCCTGTTAATATGAAATTCCATCTTAAACCGGAACCGATACCTCAAGGAAATTTTATGATCAACTATGATTATTATCCTAGTTGTCGGGTAAATATTATCCTTTGTTTCGTATGATCCGGACAGGCTCATAAAAAAATCCAGAAAATTCTCGCCGGAATCCCATAAATTTATAAACAAAAAATATTATGTTTGTTGAATTGATAAAATCGATTAAGTATCATTTGACCAAATGTTGACGTTGTGGATTCACAAGATATAGCAGATCATGATATCGTTCACAATGTACTTCAAGTCTATCGCTTGTATTAGGCAATGTTAGTAAAATTTACTTCAATATTTCAGGGGATAGAATGCAGTTCGGTCTACCCTATTTCTTTTCACAAAGTTACTCCCGAGGAGATGTACGTGTATGAATACATGATTTATCACACAATAGTCTACGGAGTAGCTCATACTTATCCTAAAACATGACAAGATGCAAACACTTTTCGGGAGAGGAAGGTTCAAATTGTTAACCCAAAGCTAGAATAAATGACGTACGTTAGTAGAGAAACTGTTGCCAGAATAAACTCATACCGTTAACGCAGTAATTGCTGATGGCGACTTTATATTTTGAAACGCAGCCATGAAATTCCATTCTACTGTTTTGACAAACTTATCAACACAATCGCTTTTAAATGACAAACATGATTACCCACAACATCTTGGAGGCTGTGTCATCGAATATTAACTCTATCATCTTTATATTGTACACATGGATCTACCAATGCAAAGTATAGCAGAAAGCTATGTGGTTTGTAGACTATGTGAAAAAGAAAAATAATTGTTATAAATTGCGAAGCATTTGTATAACAATAAACAACAGTATAGGCTGGCATATAATTAGTTGAGTCAATAGTGCCTCCTTACTTTTACTGTTTGTCGAGCATGTCATGAATATACATAAGCTTGCCGCATTCCACGCTTATACCAAGTAGAAAGACAAACGATAATAGCAGTTTACTATAATTTTGTACCATTTTAATTTATTTAGGGGTTTTTAATCCCAAGAAATAAATTATAAAAATGTTTTTATACAATGCTTTATTTAAATCTATCTTTCATATGATTAAATTGTGACAAGGTTGTGTCGATGATCAAGCGAGAAGTATGATAACAAGTATTGAAACAAATCAGGACACTCCATTGTGAAGTCATACCGAAAAGTTTTATTATTATTTCGGTTTGATATTGTGATTAGCGTTCAGTAAGATCGATACAGTAACACGAGAAAAACAGAACAGGAGTAGTCAGTCGATTTGGTTAATAAAATTGGAGTAGACGGTGAAACGCAATATGAGGAAGATGGCGACGAGGAAGACAAATAACGGTTATAGGAAGATTGTGTTTGCAAGGAAACATGAAATGAACTCTTAATCATGGTGATAGTGGAAATGCAATAAAAAGAGATAAAACACACGACATTGACCAGCCAACTCAATTAAATATTGTGCCCAATAACATTTTAAAATGAAAAGACACAAATGTACATTCCGTAAAAGCACTCTAAACTAAATCATGTTCTGAATAATAGTCGCTGCTAAATTCCCTAACATAGTAACGTTGCTTCGTCAATTGCTTTGCAACAATTGTGTAAATGCTTCAAAATTGCCGCTAGGCTCTGAACGATGATAAATCAGATTTGACATCTATCTGTGATTATCGAAATTGCTTCTTGGTTCAAATACAAAAAGTATAATACCTATATTAAAATATTCCATCATGTTTTTACACAGTGACAAAAGTCTGAGATTTGTAAAAAAGAAAACATTATTTAGAACCTAATATATATATTTCATTGAGGTAGTTTTTTCCTGATCAACATGTAAAATACCTGACCGCATACAAAGTTATCAATGCTAGAGAATCAATTTTTTGAAACCAATGATGATACTATACAAATAAATTGATCAAGTTTTTGTTTAATAATTTCCTTATCTCGAACATTTTAGCCACTAACTATGGTAAAATTATCCCATATTCAGAATATGATTTAAACTCACACAAAGACATCAGGGATATCTACAAGGTATTTAATTATGCCTGGCTGATTAGAATACTTCTGCCTGGTACCCCCGTAGTATGTGAACCAAGATGGCGGACTCCGGAACGTAGTATGTGTACCAGGTTAGGGTTATGCCATAATTTCAGGTACAAATACTACTGGAGTCACTTGGCTAGTTCCTGAACTCGTAATAGGGACTAAAATAATGAAAATTGGATAAAATTATGGCCCAACCTATTACACATACTATGTTCAGGTGTCCGCCATCTTGGTTCACATACTAAGGTAGCACCCTTCTTTCATCTTTCCATATGTTGGTATAGTTAAGGGATCCGTATGCACCGACCGACTACAAAAATATTGTAGCAATATTACAAAATACTATATCGGAAGTTTCAAATATCTTGCACCATAATTTCACATGTTCATTTGTTATCATTTTTGTAAATTAAATGGTGAAAATGATCAATTGAAATTGATAATATTGAACTATTATATTATATTCGCAAATAGCTATGCAACATTCCAACAAGTGACATGATGTGTTAGACTAGTTTTTTTTCCAAACGTATTCAGTTTTAATTCTGGTCGGATCTAGTTGGTATATATCAACATGTTGATTTTCGAGTTGCTCTGGATCGAGGCCAATATTTGAAAAAAATCATCGAATTAAAAAGATTAAATAATCAAATTATAGTAACTAATGTACAGCAACTGATATACAGGGCGGAGGCACTGCCCCCACCCCCAATGCCACTTGAAAAAATTCCCATTACCCGGGCGAACGCTTTCCCGCTCCGAGAACGGAGATTAAGGGCCTCTAAACGCCAAAATCACCTTAGTCTAGTACAGTGGTTCTTGACCTTTTTTGAATAATTTACCCCTTTATCAAACAAGGTTACAAGATTTACCCCCAATACATCTGATATTAAAAATTCGTCAGGTAAAATATAAATAGCTCTAAATTTAGACGCGAAGTCTCTATTTCTCTCTTTCTTTTTTATACCCCGTCTTCGCCTTTGTATTGGGCTTCAGTTCGGCGTGTAAAAATAAGAGAGTGGGGTTCGGTGGGAAAAGAGTGGTGTGGGAGGGGGGAAATGTATGCGGGGGGATATTGACGTGATAGAGAGTTGCGAAAATAGTTCGGAGTGGGAAAATGAAATCATCGATCACAAAAAGCTTTCAAGATGATTTCTCCAATCGTATGTGCTTTTTGCACAGAACACTCTGGGGAATATAAAGACCATCCTGAATAAGATACGTCAACTCAAAATATGAAAAATCGCTCTGATTAGGGGCGCAGCTAAGATTTAGACACAGGGTTAAAATCCAATCCCTTCTGAAACAGTCGTCGCGATTACGCGCTTGTTAAAAGACCCCACTTTTGCAGCCGACTTTCCTCAATTCCCTGACAATTATGAGAATCTAAAATGTCTTTCTATAGTAATTTAATTGTGTTCAACGTAACTTGCGATTGTTTCTTCTTGCGGCAAAAGAAAAACTTCACTACTCTAAAGTCTAAATTACCATGGTAATCTGTGAACATGAAAATATGAGATGAACTGCCCGATTATATTTAGCTTTGATCCTTTTTTTTCGATCTTGCGAATTCGTTATCGCCGTTAGAAAAGATCTGATATAAATTCACATGAATTACAATTTAATTTAGGGCAATAAAAATACACATGAAATATATTAGTAAATCAAAAATACATATTCCTCGCCTCGAAATTCCCTCCGAAAGGCTACTGAAGTTCCTTCGCCGCGAATACGCCACTTTCTCAGCAGGCACAATTGACTGTATTTCAATTTCATTGACGCTATGGATTCCAACGCCGACTGAACATAATGTGTGCTATAGACACACAAATTTTCGCGATTCACGATGGACAAAGAGGCGTTTTTAATCGTCGCCTGCCTCCTATGACAAAACTTCTATTGTTTTGGGTTTTATTTTTAGTATTTTATATTGCCGCCTGTCAACCAATAAATTAGCGTTACTAATTAAATGATATACTTGAGCATATTCCCGCCGATGAACATACGACATACTTATGTCGAAGGAAATATGTGATTTAGCGAGAATAAACACCGACGTTAAGGTGTTTACGACCAAAATAACAAGCCACGCTGACGAAAAATATCGGCGATTATAGTAAATTGCAATCGCACACGTTACTAACGATTTTTTGAGTCTTCCAAGTCTTTTAAAGAAAGGGGGTCAAAATTTAATGAAAAGAACTCGACTTATTTATGGGTGTTGGTTTTCACTTTTGTTTGAAATATGACCACTATTAAATAAATAATATGCTGACAATGATTTCTCGTAACAAAACAAGCAAATAGATATGTTTTGTGTTTGTTTAAAATATTTTTTACAATAACGAAATTTACCCCCAAGAATGAAGAAATTTACCCCCAGGGGTAAATTTACCCCAGGTTAAGAAATGCTGGTCTAGTATGACTGGATCGATAACTTGATTGACAGGTAGCCTACTCCGGGCCACTAAAAGCCTGTTTTGTCCAACTTCCAATTTCAACCTGAATTGAAATACCAAGTGATCCAAGTCACTTATTGGACACGTTTAGTGGAAATATTAAAAAACCGCTTTTCTCTTTGATCACTGGACCAATTTCTTTGAAATTTTTAGTGGTTAAAGAGGAAATTTTTCCAGAAGGCTATTACTTTTATTTATTTCAAATATATATGTTAGCTCTGTGAGATTTGTTTTTGTTTGCTATGACGTCACCGAACGTTCTGCGGACATTTTTTTTGCGGACGCCATTTTGTGTCCTACTGTACTGCTTCGCTTGGTGTGAATATATTTGTAGACTGTGATCTGGCGGTACGGTAAACCGTACTGTACTGCAAACAGACGTGTCCATATATTTGGGCGTAGCTCCCTTGTTCATTCCGGTACCGGGGCAAAATAAAAAAAATCTAGATTCCCCGAAAATCATATGCGGTACGGTAACTTACCAGTACCTGAAATTCGTTTGCAGAACGTTTCTTCCTTGTCATATAAGAACTCAATTCATTTCCTCTTGTCAAATAAAAAATAACGTATGCTACAAATTTTATATTGTTTACATCAGAACTGTAACGAAAAGATGATAGCGTAATTCACTGCGGTACCTTACCAGTACTGCAGTACCTGTTGCTGTATGTAGGCCTGCTATTCGATCGTGGAACGGTTCTTCTCTGGCATATAAAACTCAACTCAATTTGCTCTTATCAAAATTAACAAATACGGTAGGCTAAATTTGCTATAAAACCAACATTACTGCAATAGTAGGAACTACCTGGAACAACAACAACATAATATTGAAACGATCGCTATGTCCACTACGTGTCCAAAAAGAGATATCGCTTTACATATACCAATGAATCATTTTTTAATTTTCATTTTAATATAATTCAGCTCATATAATCTTTTGTTCTCATATAAATCAATAGAATCTAAGATAAAAATTGTAATCCACTTTTGGATTTTTATATCACTGAAAAAATCTGTGTAAATGTGGTGTTACTAAACGTATTAGATATAAAATGGCCAAATTAAATTGAAATAATATACAAAATTAGTTTTCATTCTATCGTTAGATGTTGACATATTGCTTAACTAAGTTGATGGATGAAAATCCAAAATAATCGTGTGAGGATTTATATTGGGTTCGAATTTATTACAAGCAATAACGTTATAGAATGTCTATCCTTCGGCAGCAAAATGACAAAAAAAAACTCCTTTTATTTTAAAGACAAGTTTATATAAGTGTAAATGTTCACGGGTGCAAATATACGCAGGTGCAAACATATATGGGTGTAGACGTGTATGCGTGAAAATGTCCATGAGTGCAAATGTTAAGTGTGCAAATGTACACATGTGTAAATGAGGGTAAAAATATACGTTGTTGCAAATGTTCGTGGATGCAAAGTTAATGGAACCGCTGCATCTCTGACACTGAATATTGCGCTGAAATACATATTAAATACTGACAACAATATCAATCTTCTATCCTTTCTGCGTGTGTTGGAAGGTTATAATGACGAGAGTTTTATTTGCGTATAGAGAAAAAAGTAGAAAAATACTGATATATATATAATATATATAAAATGTTAGCTTTTTTACATTATAATTGAATTGTATGTCTACAAATTTACTGCGTTTTCCAAATTTTTAGAAAATATGCATGACGTCAAATCAACAATTTTTTAATTTGAAAAATATAAGTACAGACTATGTAATATTAGTAAGAATAAACTCAGGTATAAATTGCTTTTATGCCGTTGCTATTAGA